GGCACATTTTACACTGTAACCTAGGACACCGAGGTGACCCGAATCCTCCTCCATAGGAGCACTAGAAAACTGAGCAAAGCCTGCAAGGAAGGTCTCCGCTCCTGCGGAGCAGCTACCTGGGCGTCCAGCCACGCATTGCCAAGCGGTGCGCCATGAGGAAGGGCACTGAGCCTGCTGTTGGCAGAACAGCTCTCCAGCCGCTGTCGTTTTCAGACTATCCTTCTTACACCGGGTACTCTGCGGGGCTGGTGCTGCTCAGGGTCGTCGTTGGTCCGTTTGCTCAGTCTCTCAAAGGAAGGTTCCCCAGGGTGTGATGTCTGTGCCACGTAGTCATAATTTTCCCACTTTCCTTTCCACTCCTGTTTGGGTAATTGGGGGAATCCTGGGGCTCGGGGAGGGCTTTGGCCTCTGCTTGCTTATACTACATCTGCATGACCCTGAAAGAAAAGCGCCAGGAGTGTGACTTTTGAGGGTAATCCCTGCAGCTTCAGTGTCCATATGTGGGTATATCTGCTGGGAAAATGTGGATGGGGACAACCCATCTCAAAGTTGCTCTTCTGTCCCAGCTAAATCCTCATTTCCTTCTCCAAAGAGGTATTTAAGGCCAGCTTTCAGGTATTAGTGAAGGGTGGGAGGGAGATGGTGAGCTTGACGAGTTAAATGCAGGTGAAAAATCACACAGCTTTGCCTGCCCAAGAATTCGGTCTGTCTGCCAGCCTGATTTAGAAAAGTGCCTCTTTTTACTTAGGCTTTTCAGTAGGGATGTGGTCCCTAAAGACCTCCTTCACAGGAACCCTCCCTTAAACCATCAGCTAATTAATGGCCTTGTTATCTGTCAGCTTTCTCCTGTGTGCTGCACAGCTTCTCCGGGCGGGATGCAGCCCAAGAATGACAAAGTTTTCCACTCTTCTCACCCCCACCCTGTGCTGGGCTTCGTGCCATCCCCAATTAAGCTCCAGTGCCTTGCCTTGCATTATCGGAGAAAGCAGGACCAAAGGGCCACCGAGAGTCACGGTCCCCTCCCTGCCCCTCTATTGCACTGACAGATGTCTGGCCTGGTAACAGCATGGACCTATCTCTGTTGGGGTTTTTTAACTGACCGGGGATTAAGTCACTGCAGGTTTTAAGCCAAGTGAGAAAAAGACAATGCGACGGATCGTCACCGGCGCTGACAGGAAGGAGTGTGGATTGGGATGTGCTTTCCTGACCTCCTTCAGCACTGAGAAACTTCTTTATTTAGATTTGTTCTTCCTAAGAGGCTGCCTCTTCCTGTGGCGGAGGAGCACGTACGTGGTAAACATGTGTAGGTGGAAGCCTGTAGGTAACAGAGAGGCCATCCCTGCTGGAACCCACGTTCTCTGCAGAGACCCTGGTTGTGGAATGCCCCAGAGCCGGTCAGAAAGAAAACAGAAGCTGTTAAGCCAAAGTGAAGCCATTTTAGGATTATGGCCGTTGAATTAACTCCTTTTAATTTCTGACCTTCAGTCCCATTTGCCTCCAGGATTGTGTGTAATCCCTCAGAATTAGGGAAGGAAATCTGCTTGGTGGGATGAATAGGTGCTTGAGATGTTCTGCATCTTTTGCTTCTGCTGATGGCTCTTGCAGACAGGCTTCTAGGGCCAGTCGTTCTACCCAAACCCAGAGGAGGTTTCGAGTGAGAAATGGTCAGGTTGCTGTGCTGGGGTGTGAGTTTGCCAGTGGGAGGAGCTGGGAATTGATGCAGTTTGTCCTCTTTTTTTTTTTTTTTTTTTTTTTTTTTAAAAAAAAAATCTTCCTGCTTGTGTTAGGTGTGTGATAATAGAAAAGGGAGATGAGTCTGGACTGTATGTGGTGTAGCCCTCCTTGCTGGTGGGCACGGTGCTCTCAGTCTGGATGGGTGGATATTTTGTAGGGTTAACTAGAAAATCAGCAGAATCATTCAGGTGGTTCCTTGGTGCTCCCTTTCACCAGGCTCTTTGAAGTGAAGCCCACTTGAACTCTCACAGGAACCTTCTGCCACCACGTCATGATGAAATGATTGAAGGAGAATGTGTTTTCAGATCTCACGAATGCCCGTTCCCAGGGACTTCAGAGGTGGTCCCATAGGCATGGCGATGCTTTCAGTTATTGTGAGCAGTTTCCCACCTGGGGAAGGAAAGACTCGGTAACTCCAACTCCAGACAGTGCAATTCTGCTCCTACTTCATCAGAAACCTTCCTTAAATGGGACTTGTAGTGAACCTTGTCCATAGTTTCTTAAATGGGATTTGTTTGCTGCGTGTGTACATTAAGGAGTACATTTTGAGCATCTTTTTGATTCTTTTTTTATGACAAGTCTATCTCTTAACGTAGGACTTGCTGTTGTGTTTCCTCTTGCTTCTTGCCTACCACAGCTTTGCCTCATCAAATGCTTCAGCACCCCCAAGAAGAGAAAAGCAAGGAAATAACAGGGATTCTGGGGAAAAAATAATAAATCCTAGTCGTGATTATACTTACCTGCTGTCTGATCGATGGGATGACATACAGAGGAAAGACTTCACTTGATGTTTACAGCGCAGAGAACTGTGCATTTCTGCTCTTTTCTCTGTTGGGCAATGAAGAACACAATAGTTAATAAAAACATACCCATGGCTCACTTACCCTTTTGGTCAAATGGTAGCTGGGTTTTAACACAGCTTTGCTTGTCTTGTGAGTGCGTTATCTGCTTATAGTGTGCAATCGGCTTATGAAAGCTGAGCTGCAGTATGCTGACGCAAGGTCTATGCAGCGTGTACTTGCTGGACGTGGTTTGGGCCTCAGAAATCAGTGGACCTGAGAACTGTGGGATGGTGAAAGTGCCAAAGAGCTTTTGGCACTGGGGAACAGAGAAGGCACTATTTCCTTTCCTGTGCTGGAAGCCTTCATTTCGTATAGGGCATTGGTCTCCACCTTTTTTGTCTGGAAATCTCCTTGGCAAGGCTGTGTCCCAGTCTCTGCAATTCTCTTCTGTCTTCACCACTCTGGTTTTGTACTTTATTTTCTGCTTTTTTTCATTCTTTCACTTATTTTCTTCTTCGATTTCCTCCTCATCCTTTACTTGTCTTTATCTACTCGCCTTCCTCGAGGAAGACCTGCTCTCTCTTGCTTCTACCACTGCTGTGCATTTTTCCGCACCACCTCCCTCTCCTCATCATCCCTCTATTTTGCCTCCTCAAATTCACTTTTTTCCTAAAGCCCAAGAGAAAATCAAGCTTCTGGGGAGAATCAGAGTCAGAAGAAACTAAAATGTGGTGAATTAGCCATGTTGGCTAGGGACTGAGAAGCTCCAGGAGCCTTAGAAGGAGAGGCTGCCACAGTTCTACTGGCTCCCTAGCAGGCATTTACTTTTGAGTTGAACTTCTCAGTATATCCAAATAATCTGTCTCCAAAAAAAAGATCCTAAGTTGTAATCAAACTATCTTTGACAGGAAAAACCCACCAAGCAGGGACATAGCCTCTCTGCTTGTAAGAGTACTGTGCACCCCTGTGGCATGATATAAATGAGGAGGTGACTCATTCTGGACAAACAAGTCATTAATGGGATGAGTTGCACTTCTGGGAGGCATCTTTTAAAAGCTTTCCTGTGTTAAAAGATTCCTCGGAGTTTTTCCATGGGAATGAAGGGCCATGATTCAACTGCCTGCTCTTCGGGCGGTGTTACAGACAGAAGTACTGGTTACTCCAGACAGCCACAAGCAGATGGCCAAGGTGGATGGCTGTTTTCTTGCTTTAAATAGCTTGTGCAGTGGAAAACTGGGGTTAAAAAATATCAGGAAGATCTGGTTCAAAGAAGGAGGAGATTTTTCCTGTGGGTCCTTCTCAGGCTGGTGGGGGGTTACTAGGGATGTCATGGCTTTCCATGGGTCTGTACCTGCCTTGTACGTACACACGTTTTACTTGTTGAGCACAAAATTGCTTTGCTAAGCCTGTGTTGGTTGCTTCATATTTTTCAGGGAATGATGGAAAACTAAATATGAAACTGAATTCCCCCACCCTGGTGGATTCCTGGGCGCTATTGCTAAATAACTTGAATAATGGAGAGGGTGGAAGGGCTGGTTCTAGGTTAGAGCAGTCACAGACCTGAAGCCTGCAACCTGAGAAAGGTTTTGGATACAGAGTCTGCACCTGGGATTGCACCTGAGGCATCACAGTGGGAGAAAAGCTGGTGCCTTATTGTCAGATACGAGGGTGCACATGGGTCCTGCCGCTTGAGTTCCCTCCCTGTAGGCTGTGGGTGGAGACTGGGGCCAAGTCAGGCTGTGACACTGCTCTGCAGGGCCAGCAATGGCCCACAGCAAACCCAAGAGGTGCTCTGCAGAGGCGCTCTGCAGTCTGTACCTGCCTGGCTCACCGATCCAGCTGCAGGATCTAAACAGCTTGGTTGAACAACAGGCTGTAGCTACCGAAAACGGCAGGACTGCCTCACGAGGTCTTCTGCGAGCGATAGAGCGGGCAGGCTCAAATTAAAAAAAATAACTTAATAGCAACTTGATGACTTAATAGCGGCTAGACTGTTGCAGGTGAGTAAGGCTGGTTATCTTTGCCTGGAGGGGAGTGTTGCTTCCTGCCTTCTAGCCAGCCCAGCTGCCGGTGCGACTTGACGTGGCGTTGGAGCGGAGCAACACACTGCCAAAGCTGATCTCTCCAGTTGGCGAGAGAAGGTGACCTGAACGTGCTGGGTTTGGATGGGAGATAAAGCCATCCCGCTTGGGGCCGGCCTTCTGCTGTGAATCACCTTGTCCATCTTTCTGTCCTGTCTCTGGCAGGTCTATAACCTGACTCAGGAGTTCTTCCAACGAGGTAAACCCGTCAATGCTGAGAGCCAGAATAGTGTGGGCGTCTTTACACGGGACGTAGTGCGCAAACGTGTCAAGGCCGATCCGGATGACACAGAGGCCGTCAAGAGGCTGAAACTAGCCATGATCCAGCAGTACCTTAAGGTGTGTGTGCACATCATTGGGTTTTTTTTGTTTTAAATAAGAACAGACGAATCCTGAACCTCAGACACCTGGCTGAGCTTTGCCCATCACCGGGGAATTGCTTTCTGTGGTCTCTTGCAGCTGGGGCAGCTTGTCTTTATGTTGACAACTTTTCTCTGTGAGGTATATCCAAAGTGGGCTGCAAGAAATAAGGCCTTTACTCATTATTTTTTTTCTTCTTCTCTACCTTAAACTGCCAACTTTATAATCAGAAGGGGCTTTCCTAGGCCCTCGTAAATTTTCTGGTGTGATTTAATGTTTTCTTACCACCTGAAGCTACTCTAATATCCGATTCTTTTAGTAATGTCTTGTCTTGTGCCTTACACCTGGGACCCTGCAGTCCTGCCTAAGTGTCTTTTACCCTCTTCTGCCTCTGTCCATATCTTGGAGACCAGAAGAAATGTTACTTTGGTACTAGTAATTCACTGAAGAAACCTTTTGAAGGTGAAGCAATAAAATCAAAGGTAGATTGTATAAACCCATGTCCTAATTGTCTTGCCTCACAGCTTCCTTAGTTGTTTTTTATCTCCTTCATGCCTTGACCTAAATGAGATCTCTGTGGGATGAGGACTTAATGCTGCATCAAGCACTCCACAAGTAAAGTGCAATTTCAATTATAATGACTTAAAGGCTTACGAAATGAGGCAGGGGGGCAAGCGGTGCTCTGTGATGTGGGTAAGTGTACGGTATTCACTATCTACAGGTGGGAAGCGGAAAGAAAGAGAGATAAAGACCTAAAGAGTCTCACAGGAGATCTGTGGTAAAGCTGAGATTTGAACCCAGGCGTCCTAAGTGCAATTCTGGTATCTCAGTGTCCTAACCCAAGAGCTTGTTTCGCAGGGCATCTCCACAGCGGCCCCATAAAGACTAGTTAGTTATTGTGTTACCCATGTAACATCACCCATGCAGACAGTGTTAGTGATTTGATATAGCTCTGATTTTCCTGGCGGTTACTTCTGTGGCTGCTACAGGTTGCTGTAGCCAGAGACTTTTCTGCAAGTCTTGCAAATCCCTTCTCCTGTGTAAATATGTGAGAACAGCAAAGCTTCTGGTACTTAAGACTGTCAGATCAGAGTGGTTGCTGAGAGAGTGGGGATTAACTGGTGTCTCAGGCAAAATACAGTCTTGGTAGTTGCCTGTTTTTCTCCCTGTTGTTTTTCCTTCCTGGCTGAAAGAATCAAATAGCCATCACTGTTGGTTAACTTCATAGGGTGGAGTGTCCTGCCGGAGCACCCAGGCAGGGTGAGCGGCCTGTTGCGTGACGCAGGCTGCAGGGTTTGTGTTGCGGGCCAGCAGAACTGACCCTGGGCGAGTGTTGGAGAGTGGTCACTCAGGCATCGGGTGGGGTGGGACCACAGCAGGCTTTGGAGGAGAGGCCTTCTTCAAGACCTAGCTTCTGGCAGCCTGGCCTAGCAGTTGTGCCTGCTCAGGCTTCACTGGAGAGGCGTTGGGTGATGGCCAGGAAGGGGCAACCACCTGTGTGTCAGTACAGCCACAGGAGGAGCCTGTGGACTACTTGGTACAGCTTTGACTTGTTTGCTTGACACCTTAGCCCAGCACAGAGATTCCTGTCCTGCACCATGATGCTCCACAGGGAGAGGGTCTAAGCTTGCCAGGCTTCCAAACATGGTCATTAAACTGTGGAAAGGCCTTTAAAACGGGCCAAAGGGTAAGGCAGGGAATTGTAGCATTCCCTTTGCCTAAAATGCTTGAGGAATTACAGTGTGCAAATCGTTGGGACTCCAGTGATTTGAAGATTTTAAGATCGCTGTGTCCCATGCGTCAGTATTATCATTAGAGGCTTATCACAAGACTGGCCAAACATCCTGCCTTTGTTCCAGGGGCTGTTGGAAGCTACGGCTGTGCCTGATACTGCTGCAAACATTAACCAACAGGGCCTGAATCTAAAGCTTTCATAATCACATCCAGGGAATCAAACAGTGTCTCGCATCTTGGCATTTCCCTTTTCTGTTTCCTTCAGTTCCTTCTGCGTTGGTTCCTCTTACCTATGGCAGATTGTTAGCTTGCTGATTGCTG